TTACAGTCCTGTGCATTAACCCACTGCGCCACACCAGGACTCCAAGTGTCATGGTGCTAAAGTCAGCCAAAAAGTGTGCTGGTGGTTTCCAGTCCTCGTTGGATGCTTGTCGTAGGTGAAGGCTGCAGCTTCAGTTGCAGCAGACCACTCAGAGTTCACTGCATTTCACGCCAGTGTCCAGGAAGCCAGACTGCGGCTCAGCATGGCACCTGTGATAAGAATGTGGAAGAAGAGAGACAGCTTCATCGAGAAATGGGTGCTTTTTTTTCAAAGCACTAGCATTGCAAAGAAGAGACATTTCCCTTGATGTCTTCTACCTTGGAAAACACCCTTTGTGGACAATCCTCCACACTTCTGTTTAGTGTGGTGACAGGATTGAAGGTTTTCTCACAGAAAAAGCCTTTTCTGTGTGTTGATTGAGGTGTAGACAGAGTTGTGTGTTGACGTACAATTGTGGTAGCAGTCTGTCTGAGAATGTCCAGTTCATCCCAGTAGACATGGGCTGTTGAGGTGGTCAGAGCCCAATGAAGCAGACCCACTAGCCATTGCTTTGGTGGGACAGCTGCTATAGCAGGAAGTGATGAGTGTGAACTGCTGACACGGCTGAGCCAGTCAGGCCTAGGGCTAGTGACTCCCAAAAGCACGTGTGATGGGCATTTTTAAACAGACGGAACCTCCAGGGGACAGAAGTCTGCCTTGATATCCCCAAGTGCTGATGGCTGTGTATCAGTGTAAATGGGTGTTCTTGTTGGTCATCAAATGTAGTTGCTCATTTTCTTTCCTGAATGACATTCTCTAGTGGTTCCCTTGGACTTCAGGATTCACCTTGTCGTCAGCACTGGGAAAGAATGGGGGAAAGACACACTCCCTCTCCCTTGGAGCTCACGGTCCATAGAGTAGGCCACTGATGAAGTAATGAACCACAGTTGGTTGCCAACCAGAGTAAATGCTATTGGGGGGCCTGGATGCCAACTTCTTCTAGGCAGCTGTTCCCACCTTCCCCCTCTGGTTGCCCCTGCTCTTCGGTCATGGGCCATTGAGTTACTTGACCAGTGGATTCCTAAGGGCAGAGCTTTGCCCCATTTGTCAGCGTGTCCACCGTGTGGATGATGCACAGGCAGAGTTCTGGGGCTAGTGCAATTCCTCACCACAGACGTGTACATCCCCGAGGACAGTGATCTCAGCCAGCCCTTTCTAGAACTCGCAGGCACAAATCTGAGATACACAACCGGAAGTTGAGCATTGATGGATGAGTTGAGTGGATGGTCCTGTCCCACTAGTCGGGTGTGTAGAGGCTCCCTTCCCAGGACCTGGCGCGTATGCTGTGGGTTCAGTCTGTGGCGTCTGTTTTTAAGGTTTGTCTGTCTGTTTGTTTTCAAGGTCTTGTGGTCTGATTCTTCAATCACATCAGTAACCAAATCTTCCTGTGAAGTGACTGAATTTATTTCAAAGGTAAGGTGGCTTAAGGGCTCATATAAACCAAGATGGTGTCCTTCCCCAGAGTTGGCAACTCTGCCATAGCAGACACGTCGGTGAGATGCTTCCTTCAGCTAGTGTAGTGAGTGCAGCAGAGTCCAGGGTCTGCATCCAGCACAAGTGTGCGCCGTCAGTTTGTGGTCCCCGGCGCCACAGAAATCAGATGGTCTCTCTGCCTGTTGGAAATGAGACACGAGAGAAAGATGTGGTATACTTCTTTGTCTTGTTTTTACTGTCCTGCACCAGTTTTGGTGGCAAGGCTCAGGAAGGGAGTGACGAGAGGGCTCACAGTTGGCTAGGTTATTGCCGACCTCTCAACGTTTGGGTCACCTGACTCAGCACCCCAAGGAGAGCTGGCCTGCACTGGAGGGTTTCTGAGACTGTGGCTCTTCCGGGGAGCAGACTGTCGACTTTCTCCTGAGGAGCGGTGTAACCCCCTTTTGATCTGTGTACAGAGTCTTGCCTTTATCTGGTTCATGTGTGGTGTTTTTTTCCCTTAGCTTTAAATTGGTTCAACAAATACCACTTGATGGAAGCCTTCCACTCCTGAAGGACCTTAGGATCCTTTATCTACATGTACACACAAGTGCATACATGTACACAACACACATCTGAAGTCCCCTGTCCACTGTTACCGCTGTGTGTCTTCAATAATCAGTGAAATTAGTGGGTTTGCCATTTCCATGTTAGAATCCAGGGCACAGTCCTGTCTGCGGGGGACAGTCCCATCGACAGGCCCTGTTTACAGAGTTGGATGGAGGTTGTTAGATTGAGCTCATCCTTGGAGACTGAGGGGCACCGCAGTGCCATGCTTCATGAGATTGCTGATAACCACCCGGGACCCACCTTTTCCGTGATGACACTCTTGTGCCCAGTGTCTCCTTTGGTTAAATTTTAAAAAGCCATTTCTCTGGAGCGCTGCCCTTCTGCGCTGGTCCTGTGTCTGGTGTTCACACTGCTTGTGTCTTCTCCTAAAGGGTCTCTGCCCCATGGGGTTACCTGCTTCTCTCTCACCGTCATTTCACAGAGCTGTTCTGCACCCCGTTTTCTTTCTCCTCCTCTGGGTGCGTCTGGTACACTTCCCTTAGACTTGGGTGTTGTCCATAGTGTTTGGATCCTCATTTTCATTTTTCTTACCTGGTTTTCACTCTGCTGTGCCTAGGCAGCCGATGAGCCTGCTGAAGTTGCTGGAGTGTTCATTTCCAATACTGTTTTTGTTTGTTGTTTTTCCATGTGACTGTATGTAATGAAGTTTCATTGCTCTGCAGGAATATTCCACTTGGTCCATGCGTGTTGTCCACGTTTGCTTACTCTGGTGGCCCTGCTGGACAGAGGGGAGCTGCTTCTCCTGGGTCTCCCAGGCCGTGGCTCCTGAGGGGCTGGCTCATCATCCTCCCTCGGAGCTGCTCGTGGGTTTGAACGGCCTGTCTTGTAGTTAGTAGTCTGATGCCTAACCCACAGAACCAACAGGGCTCCTTTTCCTATGTTTGTCACAGTGATTTAAAAGTCCCTGTTTGATAGTTTCAATGTCTGGATTGTTTCTGCTCTGGTTTTTAATGATTGCTTCGTCTCTTGACTAGTTTTAAAATTTTTTTTATTTTCTGCTTTTTGTGTTTCTTGCAGTTTTTTGATAGAATACTGGACATCATGCTTTAAAGAATGTCTGGGTAAACATATTACTGCCTAGGAGAACAGTCCCACAGGTGCTTGAATGGACCCGCTCAGGGCAGGGGTGGAGCTGGGTCGGTTGGGATTTTGCTCAGTTTCCCTTTGAGGCCCCTTCACCCTCACCTTCCAGCAGTCCATGGCATCTCGGGCAGAGGGGAACCCTCTCTGCCCTTCCGAGGTCCACTTAACCTGCTGCTAGACTTACAGGCCAGCTGAGTGGGGCTTTTCCCCGCAGATGGTCTCAGCTTCATAGATACAACGGACACACAGGGCTCTGCTTTTACCTTCACACAGAAGCCCGGGTCTCGGCCCGAGACCTGGAGGCAAGCAGATGTCCTTCCCCTTCCTCCAAAACCAGGGGCACTCAGTCACCACCTCTTGGCCCTCCATGATTAGAGAGGTTCCAACGAAATAGCCCCTACTGGCCAGCTCTCCTGGTTGCAAGTTGCTGCCGTTCACACTTAGCCATGAGCCTGTGTCCCCGCCCTCCA